ATATTTAGCTGTCCTTGTTTGGCCGCAGTTGCTAAGCAGGAAGTTTAAGAATTTTTCAAAGAAGGATTATTTAGTGTGAAGGGTGGAGAGTATTCTGTGGGCTGGCCACAAGTAGGAGTCAGTGGGGAGCTTTTTTGTGCTCAAATTATCATAATGGCCTTTATGGGGAGAAGCTGCCCATAAAACATGCCAAAAAGGGAACAGTTGAATAACATTTCAGCTGTTTCTTTGATTGCACACATTATTGTTAGAAGGATAAGTTCAAATTTTTGTTATTACTTTTATGTCTCGGCAATTTCATTATTTAACAGAATGCCTTCTTCCTGATCTCGTTAGATTCTCAAGTGGGCGTTTTGCGCATTTGGAATGTTTCAAAAACAACACCTATTGATAACTTTAAGTTGAAAAAAACAGGATTTCATTGCTTACATGTACTTAATTCTCCTCCAAGGAAGAAATGTAAGTAAAAACATTATCACATTTTTAATATTTTAAAATATTATATTTACTGTAAAATAAAATGACTGATAGAGTGACACAAATATATGAAATAACATATGCTACTGAAGAGTAAATTTTTTAAAAATGACCTTTGCGAGTATATGTACTAAAGGAACAGTCAAAGCCCCACAATATCTAATATTACTAAAATGAAAATATTTAGAGCTAACCTACGTTTTTAACAATGCAATTAAATGAGAGTGCTCAGATAATCTTGAGTCATCTCCATGGAGGAAAAAAATGATATTCATGTAAATGAATTAAAAATATCAAGAAGTTTGGGATTAAAGAATATTATTCTGAACTAGGGGACTTTATGTTTTAAACCTGGCTCTTTTACAAGCTGTATGGTTTATAACAAAGTTCAAATAATCTAAGTATTCAAAATATAGGATCTAGGAGGATATATTCCAAGTTGAAATGCCAGTTGTCACTGGATTGGTAGTTAGTTTTATATATTTTCTATATGTTCTTCATTTATTTTTGTGTGTTTTTTCGTAGTTATCATTCATTGCTTCTGTAATGAAGAAAAATAAAAAAAAAATAGACTTAAGCCATAAAAGAAAAAAAATCTGGAAATTTGGGTGAGGTTTAGAATTCAAAATTCTTTTGAATGTGTTTGGAAAAAAATCTAATTTGTAAGTCATTAGTGAGTACTCTGCATCCTTAGTACTCTCCATTTTTGTATGGATCATAAAAAAATGATGTACTAAATTTAGTAATTCAAATATCTAGAGTAATTGATTGCTCCTTACTCACTACTGTCCACCTTTCTAATATATTAAGTAATTAGCAATAGCTATTCAAAGTAATGCTATTTTGGCGAGCAAATTTACTGTCTAATATTGTGGGCAGTGGGAAGTAGTGGGAAATCTCTGTATGTGAACCTCCATCCTTTCCACTAATTTAAACTTTTCTGTGGAGCCCTGATATTTCTAAATCTTAGAAGCTGGAGTGTCTAGAAATATTAGGACTGGAGAAGTGATATTCCAGAGATTGATACATTGTTTATGTGTCCTGAATTTTTTTGTTGCTGTTTTTTAGTGGTTACGAACGTCCATATTATGAGATGCTTGAGAGACCACAGATTGCTTTTTTTCATATTACAAAAGCCGTCTGGGCCCATTAGAGAAAAATCAGAAAATAAAAAAAGTGAATACCAAACTTGCCACTTTTGAGTAATTCTTTCAGGTCACCTATTGTTAGACATCTAGCTTTTATCCCCCCTCAATTGTTTAATATGACAGAAAGTGTGGAATAAGAACAACTAGTTGAAAATGAATAATTTAAAATGTAGATATACCAGATCTAAAAAAATGAATTCTAGCTAGTTAGATATGTACGTGATGAATGCGACGCCATTCCTCTTCAATTCAGCATTTCCAGCATAGTAGACCATATGATTGTTGCATTCATCATCAAAAAGAACATTTCAAGATCTGTCCTAAAATACAGCGCTGTCA